ATATTGCAGCCAGTGGCGTACACATGACCCATGGGGCCCCAGTGTGAAAACTGATCCGTGGGCCCCCCCCCCCCGCTCTTACTCGGCGCGGTTCGGGGCCACAACACATGGCGGCGGGCACCTGGTTGCAGGGGTTGCAGGGCTGCGACCCCGCGACCGCGGTATGCACACACACTTAAAGGACCACTACAGACACCCAGATCACATCAGCTCAATGAAGTGGTCTGGGTGCCAGGTCCGTCTAGTTTTAACCCTGCAACTGAAAACATAGCCGTTTCAGAGAAAGGGAGTCCGACGCTGGAGAAAGGTAAATGCTGAAGACACACACACTCTCACGAACAGACGCATACACACTAGCTAACAGACACACATTTACTGACAGAGACACACTCAGTGACAGACATACATACACACTCACTTACAAAACATAGACTTTCACTGACAAACACACACTCACTAACAGACATCAAACACACTCAGTAACAGACACACACAGTAACACACTCACTAGCAGACACACACCCACTAACACACACACACAAACACTAACACATACACACAAACACATACACACAAACACATACACACAAACACTAACACACACACACTAACACACACTAACACACACACACTAACACACACACATTTTTAAAAAAATTTTTATCCCCCCAGCCTCCTTACCTTTTGGATTGCTGGGGGGGGGTGGTTCCCTGGGGTCCAGTGGTGCTGCTGGGCGGGCTGGCTGGCTGTCTGGGTGACCGGTGCGCGAGGGAGCACTCTCCCCTGTGTGCTTCCTCTTCAGCTCCCTCGCGCGCCGCATAGGGATGCCGGCGCCGGAAGATGACGTCATCCTCCGGCTCCGGTATCAGTGCGGTCCGCGAGGGAGCTGAAGAGGAAGCACACAGGGGAGAGTGCTCCCTCGAGCACCGGCCACCCAGACAGCCAGCCCGCCCAGGTCAGCAGGGGCAGCCTCGGGGGGGCCCTGAGATGGCCGCCTCCTGGGCCCCCCAGGAGAAGAGGCTGGCCCTGTGGGTACATACCGGGTCGCAGGGGTGACCAGGCCCCCTGGTGGAACGGGGCCGGTCGCAGCCGCGACCCCTGTGACCCTGGTATGTACGCCACTGACAGCAGCTATATCCATGTAGAAAAGTACATTGGCACACATAGTGCAGCACAATGACACACACAGAAACACATAAACATACAAAGCTGGAATGTACATATGATTAGAATTATCTCCCCAAACCAGAACATATTTAAAGTAACACTCCAAGCACCATAACCACTACACCCTGCTGTAATGGGAATGATGCCAGGAATATCCAGGTGCTCTCCCACAGTAAATAGTCAAACCATTGAGGAATGGCTTCAAAACATCCCTGGGGACTACCAAGCACCTATCACCACCTCCCCTGAAGCAAGAATCTATTTGCAGCTGCACAAAGCTAAGGGTTGTGATGCAGGGCTGGCTCATTGACTAAGAAAAACTGAGCACTCTCAGACACCAGTGCACCCTGCACCACAAGGCTTATCTTAGAGCTTGAAATGACAGAGGAAGCAGTGGATCCCATGTAAGTTGTCAAACTGTTCTTAAAAGGCTTGACTACATGTGCCACCTTATGGTTGCCCCGGCCCTGCTGATGTCCCTTCTCTTCGTCGGATTGGGAGGGAGATCAGTGTATGTGCATGTGTCAGTGCATATATGTGGGGTGACACGGTGATTCTGTGTGCATCTGTTTTTGTATATGGCAGAATATGTCTGGGTGTGTGTGTGTTTGGCAGTGCATACCTATGTGTAGAGGTGGAGTTAATGGTGTATGGGGTGCACAGTGAGAGGTAGCACCTCTAGTGGGTGGCAATCGTACTCCTTAGTGGGTAACTCATCAATCTTTGGTCCTCAACTGGCACTCAGCTCTCACATGTAGCTGTAGCATGTGCAGTGGCCACACCACAGGCAACAGCTTCGATTAGCCAGCCCCTCCCCCTGTCATCCATGTACAGTGTGTGTGTATAGGAGTGTAGTGATTATAGAGGGGATTTTTTAAAATTAATAATGTTTTAAAAACAAATATTCATTCCTCCTTTCCTGTTGTTACCTAGTTGGGAGAGGGGTATGCTGATCTGAATCTGGTCTGCCCCTCCACTGGGTACAGACCATGTGTAACTGCCTCGCAAGTTTAGGGACTTGCAGTGTCTTGTGGTAATCTGTGGCAACTCTCTGATTATCCCGAGCTAGGAAGACAGCTACTTATGGTCTGCAGCCAACAGAAGTGCAGGCCAGAAGCGCCAGACTGCCTCCCCTACATTACAGAGGAGCAGACTAAGTATGTCACATAATCCTGTGAGTGTTGCTTTGGAGCTCTGGATTATACTTATTTACCTTGGCCTTGGAATAAATAATTGTAGTAATGCGCTACCTCTTCATTTATCACAGAGCTCTACAACAATAAAACTCCCGGTAATGTGGAGCTCTGTGACAAGAGCATACACTACACAACAAAACAACTCTAAGTAATGTGTCTATTAGTGTATCATGGAACTCCCTAACTATAAAACACAGAGTAATGTGCATTTTACATACCAGAGCTCCACTGTAATCAGTGGTGTATCCTGGATTTGTGCTGCCCTAGGCACGACTAAATTTGGCACCCCCCTTAACTAAATTTGCCCCACCAATTCGTGTCAAGGACTTTTTTTTTTGACTGACAGACACACCACACACACACTCAGAATCACAGACACACACACTGACAGTCACAAACATACACACAGATATTTTCTCATACACTCACCAATTATTAATATCTTTAATAATTATCTACCTCATCGACAGGATAGAATATTAGTATATTAAAACCTGGAGGGGGCCCTAAGGTGGCAGCCAGCTATTGGGCCCCCCAGGACACAAGGCAAACAAGACATTTGCCTGGGCACTTGGGGCGGCGTTTTTTGTCTCCCCTGAAAGTGCCGTCCTAGGCAAATGCCTCGTTAGCCTTGTGGTAAATACAGCGCTGACTGTAATACATCTCACTATAATATGATGTAATGTTTGTGTTGTCTGTGTATGTGATAGGTGTGATGACTGGGTTGCGATATGTATGCTATGTGTGATATTTGTAATGGGTGTATTAACTGTGTGTGATATGCGTGTATTGGTTGTATGTGATATTTGTGCTCGGTTTATTGGCTGTGTGTGATGGGTATTTAACCCCTTAAGGACTGGACTGTTTTTGCGATGTTGTACATTTGCGACCAGGCATATTTTTACACTTTTGTGGTGTTTGTGTTTAGCTGTAATTTTCCGCTCTCTCATTTACTGTTCCCATTCAAATTATATATTGTTTTTTTCAGGACAAAAGGGGCTTTCTTTACATACCATTATTTATACAATCTCATGTATTTTAATAAAAAAAATGAAAAAATATGATGAAAAATTGAAAAAAATACATGTTTTTTGACTTTTACTTGAAAAATCTTTTACTCATCTACAAAAGTGAATTGAAAAAACTGCTAAATAGATTCAAAATTTTGTCCTGAGTTTAAAAATACTCATTGTTTACATGCTTTTTTGCTTTTTTTTGCACGTTATAGGGCTATAGGTACAAGTAGTATATTGCGGTTTCAAAACATACATTTTTAAAATGTATCAATAGTGACATTGTAACACTATTATCTGTCATAAATCTCTGAATAACACCCCACATGTACATATTTTTTTTAAAGTAGACAACCCAGGGTATTCAATATGTCCAGTCTTTTTTAGTAGCCACTTAGTAGAAAACACTGGCCAAAGTAAGCATTCATATTTGTTTGTGTGTAAAAAAACTAAATAGAACGCTAATTTTGGCCAGTGTTTGTGACTAAGTGGTTACTAAAAAAGACTGGACATACCCCATTTGCAATACCTTGGGTTGTCTTCTTTTGCAAATGGTATGCCATCATGTGAGTAATTCTCATTCCTGGGCTACCATACGCTCTCAAAGGCAACGTAACCAACCTGGCCATTTTCAATGTAAAAATATTTACCCATATATTTGACCCTGTAACTTTCAAAAATGCTATAAAACCTGTACATGGGGGGTACTGTTTTACTCGGTAGACTTCGCTGAACACAAATATTAGTGTTTAAAAACTGGAAAACGTATCACAACAATTATATCATATCATCAGTAAAAGTGCTGTTTGTGTGTGAAAAATGCAAAAAAAGTCACTTTCACTGACAATATCATCGCTGTGATATGTTTTACTGTTTTGAATCACTAATATTTGTGTTCAGCGAAGTCTCCCGAGTAAAACAGTACCCCCCATGTACAGGTTTTAGGGTGTCGTAGAACGTTACAGGGTAAAATACAGTGCTAGCAAATTAAATTCTCTGGACTTTCAGCTTGGGTTGGCAGGCAGGTCCCTCAAATTGCAATCAATAAAATTACTTAATTATGTAAAAATATTACATAAATACGCACATAGAATTTAAATATATATGCATATTTATATATTTGAAGTCTACGTGTATATTTATATAATTATTTATGTAATTTTGCATATGTATATTTCGTATTATTTTTATTTATTTATATATACATAGATATATATATACAAATTCATTCTAAGTGTATTTTGATATAAATATATATATTCATTTTAAAATACAGTTTGAAAAAAAATTATATCTATATAAAATTTTATTCTATTTTTATTATTATTTAAAAAAAGTAATTTAATTTAAATTACTTATTATTTATATTTTATAATATATATATATATATATATATACAATATGTATAGTTATTATATATATTATATATATACGTGTGTAATTTAATTATAGGTGTATTTTTATATTAATATAAGTACATATTAATATAAAAATACACTTAGTATGACATTATATATATGATATATAGACATATATTATATAGATATCATATATGTCTATATATCATATATATATACACATATATAATTTTTTTTATTTTTATTTTTATTTTACACTTGCAGGGAGACACATGGACACCTATTGTGACCATGTGATCGCTGTGTTAAGCGATCACGTGGCCACAGGGGTCCTAATCCAGTGTGGGGAGACTGTCTGGGCTGCAGGCAGTCTCCCTACAACGGGAGCAACACTGATCGCCGCTGGGGGAACGACGCGATCAGGTAAGTAACTAGGACCGTTGGGACGGTTCAGGACCGTCAGCGGTCGGCAATGGGAAAATGCCGATGACGGTCCTGAACCGTCCTCGGTCCTTAAGGGGTTAATTCAGATAAAAATATGCATTTAGGCCTATGTGTGAATGCAGGCGTATATTTTTGCAGAGTTATGTGCACACAGTCCCACAGTCAGATGCACACCGTTATACATATATAATGTCAAATCCACCACATGCACACAGTCGCAGGCAGATAGTCACATACACAGGATCAGGCAGAAACACACAGGTACAGGCAGATAAACACACACACAATTACAGGCAGACAGTCACACACAGGTGCAGACAGACAGTAACATACATACAGCCACACATTCAGTCTTATACACACACTTACATGCAGACAATCGCAGACAGCCACACACAGGCAATCACACATAGTTACCTCTGTTCATTATGGAGGAGTGGATGCAGTGCAGCTCCTGGAGACTGGTTGTTGGGGAAGGAGGGACTCCTTCCTGCATCCCCTGCAGCAGTTACTTGGCACTTTTAGCTCCGCCCTGCTGTAAGTTTAGCTACGCCTTTGCCACACGGAAGCTCTGCCCCCATCGCACTGTAATCTCCGCCCCGACGCAATATTGGGAGGGAGGTTTTTTATTTTTTTAAATAATCCTGGCCGGCCATGTGCGAGCTGTGTCGACCGCATGGCGCCCTCTGCTTGCATGGAGCCCTGTGCGGTCACATAGCTTGCACACCAATAAGGCCAGCCCTGGGCTGAACACTGTCAAGCAGAACATAAGTGTCAAACAGTCTCTTGTGAATGCTTTGGAAGAACTGGAATCCACCCTTCTTGAAAGTCAAAATGTGGAAGCTGACTGGGCAACACTTAGAGAGCTGTGCATAGCCACAGAGATGCTGGAACAGTCAACCAGAAAACATAAAGACATTACCTTCATCAAGCCTACTTTAGGAGCATACCTTTTTCATATCAGAGAATGATGCATTCAACAACAACAGAGAAAGATGCATTCAGAGGTCATTACAGCAGAAACTCTGTCAGATGCAAGACACTTTTCTAAGCAGAAAAGCTGATAAGATTCAAGAGTATGCTCATAAGCACGACATGAAGAATTTCTTTAAAGAGGCAATAGGAACTGTGCTTAAGCCACGTAACCCAAATGGGTGCCTAACTAGACTCTGGGCCAGCATCAGCCCAGCTGGTGGTTTAGTTCTGCCTACTGCCCACTATATCAGTTATTGTTGAAACTATGCTTTACTATACAGGCATATGGTGATTACCAAATAATATCATTAATTATTTAATTATCTTATTTAGTAATTGATTGTAATATTGCACTGGTTTTATTTCACTGCTTATAAAATGTTTGCATTTTCTGGTGTGAAGTAGCTTGACAAAGATCCATTTGTGGTTCGAAACATTGCGTTGTTTCCCTGGTTCCAATAAATATGTCTATATAGCATTAGAGTGCCTGAACCTTCTTTCTTTAAATATAGAATTTCTATGATGCCCTGAAAGAAGTGTATGAACCCATTTCATCTGGATCATCCCCCCTTCTCAGGGCTGATGCATACACTTTAATCACTGACAAGGATAAAATTCTTAAACGGTGGGCTGAACACTTCAATAGCGTTATGAATTGTTCCAGGCTTGGGTTAAATTCAAGCTGAGGTGTACACTAAAGGCCGCACTGCCCTGACTGAAAGGCTCCATCTACTGTTCCTATTCATGTGGCAACAGTAGACAATTCCCCAGGAGTTCAAAGATGCCTCCACTGTACATCTGTACAAGAGGAAAGGAAACTGGCAGGCCTGTGGTAACTGTAGAGGTATATCCTTACTCTCTATCGCAGGCAAAAATATTTGTCAGGATTCTACTGGATCACCTTACAGCGCACCTTGACTTAGACCTTCTGCCTGAAAGCCAGTGTGGATTCTGGAAAGAGAATGGGAACATTGACATGGTATTTGCTGTGAGACAACTGCAAGAGAAGTGTCAGGAGCAGAACTCCAACATTTCTACACCTATGTGAAAAATCCTTAAAATACAGTGGTAGGACAAGATCATGGATACTGACGTTTAACCAAGCAAACCAATCTAGCAGATTTACCATCTTGATCCAGTCACATTTACATTGGGCAGGGTATGTAGTCTGTATGTCAGACCAACAGCCATTTTTATGGCAAGCTACAGCATGGGGATCAAAAGAAGCACTTTAAAGACACTCTCAAAGTCAGTCCTAAGGCATTTGACATTAAATTTGACTCTTTGGAACAGAGTGCTGTGAATCAGATGACATGGATCTCTCTTGTGTCAAAGGGTGCTGAATCATGGGAGGCCAAAAGGATGGCTGCAGCAGAACAAAAGAGACAAGCTAGAAAAGCTTGTGCCAGTAACCCTGTCAGAGAAATCATCCTCATCTGTCATTGGACCTTTTGTGTAAGGAGCGCACACACAAATAAAACCTTCACTAGCAATTAAAAGATGACTGAGTTGTCCTTGTGGAATCGACGGATGAACAACAATCTATGTGTGAATCTGCATGTGTATCTGACATTGCATATCTGTATATTTTTGGGATTACATATGTGTAGCTGGGAATGTTTTTTTTTGGGGGGGGTTTGTATACAATGTGTGTCTGGAAATGTTTATTGTATGTGTCTGTAACTATGTATCTGTGTTTATGCCTGGGGCTGTGTGTAAGAATGGGGCACACAATGCTTTTAAAAGGTAATTTCTTATGGCAGTCTGGATTATCAATACCCATTGGAGGTTTCTCTTGAGATATTTCTGCAGTGCATTTGACAAAGTTCTCAAATTTATCAACTTGTTTCAAGGTGGAGAGCCTTTTTCCCTAACTTTATATATTGTTTTAGCTTACAAGTATATTCACTCAATGGGCAACCATTGATAGTTTGTGAGTGTCTCCTGATGGCCTTGGCCTATCACTGGCTGCTTAGGTAACTATCCTCATACTGCAGTACAGAGAGAAAGGAAGGCTTTGTAGAGATGGCTACAAGACTACCAACTTTGGTTACAAATGGTTACTTGCATGTCAGTGCTGATGGTACGATGTAACTCATGTCCACATATTATTACTTATGACACTTTATACCCAGAATGTGGGTTATAGGGACTTATTATAAAATAATATGAAGTGTGCCCCATTCTTACTAGTTTATTATACTAGCTTGCAGTGATTGCTACAATACATTTATGTTTGCTCTCATCTGTTTTACATTTTTAGCAGGTATGATTTGTTTCTAACTGTATCAGTACTGATAAGGGATCATGTGAACTGATCACTATAGGTCATTGTTATACTATGATTTTAAAATAATATGCAGTGTTAGCTGCAAAATATGAATGATTATTTTTTACCTTATTTTTATTTTCTATATATTTTGTGCTGTAGATGTCCAGGAAGCCTAGATTTGCTTATCATTATTGTTTTCTCTTTTGTTATTTGGTTACCATGATTATTACACACTTCCTTTGGGAGAAGTTCTCAATTTTGGCTCCAAACTTTCACGTATTTAAACTGGTTGATATACTTGAATTTTCTATACATGATTAAGGCAAAGTATTGTATATATTTTTGTGCCCCTGGCTTTAGTAAAACCTAAATGATGCACTTTATCTTTTAAACTTGTGGATTCTCTGCTTGATATTACTACTTGTAGGTTGTGAGCCTTCACCACAGAGTACCATATAGTGAACTGCTTCCTATTAATATTCCCATGGAGTGCCAATGGAGAAAACCATTTTATTTTCTAGAGCCTTAACTTTGTCGCTAAACAATTTAACCATTGCAAAATAATTTAACCTCTGAAAGTATGGCAGCACCCGGACAGTCCGGCCCCCATAACGACTTGGTAATATCATCAGAACCAGTTTAAAATAATGTAATACTTAAAACATTTACTGATGCAGTTGCCATGGAGGCCATGATGAATATGATGTGCTAACTCTACCAGCATAACTATTGGAAAGCAAATGAGAGAAAGCTAAAGCAGTAATTAAAGACAGACCAACTACAAAAACCATGCTTCTTTATTGTATGACTGAACAGTGTGTGCCTCAAAGAATTTGAAAATGTGGCTTTCATATAAAAAAGACATAAAGGTAATTAAGGGTTGAAACGAGAATAAACAGAGAGTGAACGCCCACATGGTGATGGGGTCAGTGGGTCAAGATGCTTAGTTGAAAGACCAGAGAAATGAATTAGAAACACATATTTCTGGTCCACACATATTTACTTTTTGATATCAGAAATTCCTCTACTGCTAGAAATTGTCCCAGTAGAGGCAAGATAATCCATCCATTCAGACCATCATATCAATTATTAACAGAAAAGGCTGAAGGATAACATGACAGTCTAGAGAGTATTTTATCAAATGTCAGAAAACAAAAATGTGTTAAGGCTGTTAACGTGCTGTTTACAGCATTTTAATTATATTGTGGCATTGGTCACTATTATCAAAATGTATAACAGTAAAATAAGATGGTAAGGCTGCAAAATATTTTAGCTCCATTCCAATAATAAAGGATTGTTTTAATTTTGTAAATGTAATTGCATGTGAATGGTTGTTAAATAACAACAGATGCTCACTTCAACCTGTCATGCATTTTCAAGAGAATGGTTATGTGCTAGTATTACAGAAGCATGAATTTACCATATGTTGTGGCAGGATTTGAGCCCTTTGATCTTGATCATGATAGACATGACAATTGAACTTAAAGGGTCAATCTAAACATCATATCCACATAAGTTTCATGGACAGCAATTAATTATATGCATTTAAAATGCACCAAAACCACTAGAGATGAATGTGGTGGTTTTGGTGCCTAAATGCTGCCCTGCATTGTGATACATGTTAGTATTGCCAATTCATGAAAAACAGCAATATTTATATTTGTCAGTGAGTAAAGACAGTTCCTAGTGATAATTTTAAAACATTTAAAGTCTTCACACTTGGTATTATGATGAGACTTTAAGCAGTCGGGTCACCCCATAGAGAAACATTATTATGCCTCACTATGAAAAAAAATCTATTGATGCAGTATGGAGATT